TAAAACTGGACCAAATGAGTGATTCTTTTGTTGAAACAAACAAATAAGTTGGCATGAATGAATATTTTGATCTACGGCTGTTGGCCTGTTGTGCTTTCGGAAGTTCCAAGTTGTATTTTGGAGAATGGTATTATAGCCTGTACGACATTCCCTTCATTCACAAATGTATTTTGGTGTGGGAAAAATGGGCATGAAGCTTCCAGAAGCACGTGAGTATTGACTAAAGAAAGTGAGCAAGACAGTCTTTTATTTTTATTTTTTTGAGATCGCAAGACTATCTAAATTTGCGAAATGGGAGTAATACTTGTATAATTTTCTTTCTCACAAAAAGGAAAACTTGCAATTTTCTTAGCAGGAGAATGCACTCAGTTAGCCTCATCAGACGACATTATCGCTTACCGTGACAAGTGTGATTTTTTTTCCCCATTTAGTCTTAACATTGAATAGATTTGAATATGTAACTGTTCACTTGGATGGAGTGATTGAAAAGTTACAGCGAGCACGTTTTGGTGAATTAATTGATTCACACCCTGCGGCTTAGCAAAGTGGGTGGTATTTTTCAAGGTTCACTGTACTGTGCTACTCCAATTGAATCAAGCTGGTGCATGTACTTACCACTTTAAAGTATGAGTACATGCTAATTGAATCAAGCTGGTGCACCTGTGTTCCAGCTGCAATCAGAGATGACCAACGTTGGACCTTATTCCTGAGTTTCTCATCTCCCGTTTATGTAACTGTTGTGTTATTTATGAATTGGGATATATATTTTTATCTTGTACAGCTGATATAAATATGAACAAGCCTGATATTTGGGATAAGGTTTGTCATGGGTTCATGGTTAAATGTTTACTGTCCTTTAGACAACAGAAATAAAGATCTTCAGGCGATATTGAGTAGCTTCTCAAACCCCATATATTTTGACAAGTTCATGAGAGGAACTTGATTTATCCCAGGGCTCTAGGCCAATAAAGGAATCCGAAATACAAAAATAAAATAAAATACGAGGGCCATGTTGAAGGTACAATACAACCATATCTGTCTGACAGAGGACCTTGTTGAAAGAGATGGTCCATGTTCCTGACTCCTGACTAGTTAAACATAATTAGCCAGTGCTTTCTGTACTTTCGTGTCCTGCACTTGCAAGGGGCTTGCTGGGCATGCGATCTCGTCGTAGCGATCATTGTAGCAGGAGAAGAGCCAAATCTGGAAGTGTTCTAGTGTAGCTAGCATTGGTATGCCATGTAAACCACTGTTTTCTTACTACTCCCTCTGTTCCATAATTTTTGTCGTGGTTTTAGTTCAAAGAGGAGTACCTAGTTGTATTATTACATGATCAATGGATGGTTTTTAGTTCTAGTAAAATATCAGCCATATAATGACCTCGCTTGTCCTTGGTGTCAAAACCTCTACTCATGTAAAGAGTTAGTCATTATTTTCCGTATTTGGCAAAACCTTTGAATATGCAGTGGCAAGAGAAAGTGAAAAAAAAACCTTTTCTTAACAAATTTACACGATCCCATGTGGTTCTAGAAGTCTGCAGAGTGGCAACATGTGATCGGCTGTTGAGAGTTTACTTGACAAACTTTTATGAAACACTTGTTTTCCAGCATCGAGGGCTTAGTTAAATCTATGTGGAGTCAAATTAGGAGGACCCTGTGGCCATGTGCCCTAGCATCTGATCCGCATCTTGCTGGCCGTGCTGGTAGAGCTAAACAAGTGTTCCATTTTGAAACCACTAAACAAGTACATTCTTGATTCCTGAGCTCTGATTCGGCTCCTTACAATAACAAGTTGCTTGCTTGATTTCCTTGGACTGATACTGGTTATTAATTTGCACTGATACTGGTTGTTTAATTGGTTTTGCCCTTCTGAAGATGTGGAGAAATTTCTGCGTGACAGAAATACTAGACAGAAAAAAATTCCAACTATCAGTCTATCACTAAGGTACCACAGTAGTACTGACTGACTGCTTTCAACTATTCCTTGGTATACTGCAAGAAAGCAGTCAGCTTTCTTTTGTGCTAAATAGAATATATTGAACATGTGCTTACTGTGAATTACGTACTCATAGGCATCTCAATTCTTAGCTCACTTACATCAACTGTGTGCCTTTAAAAGGTCATTACCTACTCAAAACTCAAAGCTCAGCATCTTTCAGTTACTTATGCCATCTTAATTCTTAGGGCATCTCCAGCCGTTGGCCCCCCAGGACGCACAAAAATCGCCCCATGGGGGCGAGCCGGCGATACACTCGGCGCTGGGGGCGGTTTTGCGCCCAGTCGTCGCCCCCAGGCGCCGAAATTGGCCCACTTTGCAGCCCAATTTCGGCGAATAAAAGGCCCATATTCGGCGTGGTTTCGCCGTGTCTCGGCGTTCAATTATCAACATAATTATTCCTTATCACATATTTCATCACAGAAAAATCAAATACTTCAACAAAATAGTACAACAACAAATAGTTCAATATAAATTATATAGTTCAACAAATAAAAACTCGTATTTCATCACGTGGCGTCCCCCTTGAGCCTCCATAGGTGCTCAATCAGATCTTTCTGCAGTTGATGATGCACCTGTGGGTCTCGGATCTCTTGACGCATACTGAGATAGGCAGTCCAAGTTGCCGGTAGCTGGTGATCAACTTCGGCTAGAGGACCCTGCCTGTAGTATGGTTCAGTGTCAAACACTGGGTCTTCTTGCTCGCTCTCGATGATCATGTTGTGCAAGATGACACAGCAAGTCATGATCTCCCACATTTGATCTTTCGACCAGGTCTGAGCGGGGTACCGAACAACAGCGAATCGAGATTGGAGCACACCAAATGCCCGCTCGACATCCTTCCTGCAAGCCTCCTGAAGCTTCGCAAACCAGGGGTTCTTGCCTCCTGCCACAGGATTTGAGATCGTCTTCACAAATGTCGACCATCTCGGATAGATGCCGTCAGCTAGATAGTACCCCTTGTTGTATTGGTGCCCATTGATCTCGAAGTTCACCGGAGGAGAATGACCCTCAACGAGCTTGGCAAAAACAGGAGAGCACTGCAGCACGTTGATGTCATTGTGAGTTCCTGGCATACCAAAGAAGGAGTGCCAAATCCAGAGGTCCTGTGTGGCTACCGCCTCAAGCACCACACTGCAATCGCCTTTGGCGCCTTTGTACATCCCCTGCCAACCAAATGGGCAGTTCTTTCATTTCCAATGCATGCAGTCGATGCTTCCAAGCATCCCAGAAAATCCTCTTGCTGCATTCTGGGCTAGGATCCGAGCAGTGTCTTCGGCATTGGGTGCTCTCAAGTATTGTGGCCCAAACACTGCCACCACTGCCCGACAGAACTTGTAGAAACACTCTATGCTGGTGGACTCAGCCATGCGCCCATAGTCGTCGAGTGAATCACTGGGAGCTCCATATGCAAGCATCCTCATCGCTGTCGTGCACTTCTGGATGGAGGTGAATCCAAGAGCGCCAGTGCAATCCATCTTGCACTTGAAGTAGTTGTCGAACTCCCGGATGGAATTCACAATCCTGAGGAAGAGCTTTCGGCTCATCCGATAACGGCGCCGAAATGTTCTCTCGCCATGAAGTGGAGCATCGGCGAAGTAGTCGGAGTAGAGCATGCAGTAGCCTTGCAGACGATGCCGGTTCTTTGCTTTCACCCGCCCCGGCGCCGAGCCACCTCGACGCGGCTTTTCATTGCTCGCCAGCAGCTGGGCGAGGGCGGCGAGCACCATCAGATGCTCTTCTTCCTGGACGTCGACCGCGGCTTCCTCCTCCAGCAGCGCGGCGAGCTCTTCCTCCTCATCGGAGTCCATCACCGAGTCAGTCAAAACGCCGAACACCTTGCGGTCGGTGGGCGTTTACCCGCCGTTAAACTGCGCCTCCGCGTCCGGAAACGGCGGCCGGCAGTGCCCAGTGCTGCGGGAGGGGCTGCCGCGGCGAAGCACTGCTATTTTCCGGCGGGGAATGGCTATCTAGCGGAGTAGGCCGGCGCCCGTCGCCGGGATACAGCTAGTGGTGGCCGAGGGCGCGGGGGGTGCGAGGAGAGTCGGGGGAAGAAAAACTTGACTTTTCCCCTATCGGTGTGGGCCAGGCGTGCTTTTCCCTAGCGCCGGAGCCCCCAACGGCTCCCCAGCGCGCCGGGTTCGGCCCGTGACCGCCGGACGAAAAAAATGTCCGAACCGGCGATTTTCAGCGTCCTGGGGGCGCGACCGGGCCGTTTTTTCGGCGCCGGCGCCGAAAAAGTGGCCTGGGGGGCCCTGTTGGGGGCGCGGCTGGAGATGCCCTTAGCTCAGTGTGTGCCTTTTGTCATAGTTGCATGCCTAATGCTTGGAGTCTCTGGTATATTCCAAATTGTAGACGATGAACGAAAACTATACATATATATATTTTTTACCTTTCCCAGTTTTCCAGTGTTCATTCTGAATCTATCATCTGTTTAGCCTGCAGACATACCATTTCAACGCAGCCGACAT